CTTCCTAAAATGGTCCCGTACACTTTACAGGGGGCACTAGATTTCCAAGATTTGCAGGCGCGCAACACTATCATCCCTCTCATACTATTGATTTAGTCAGGTACCACTTCAGGACATGAAGAGGGCCCCAAAGTTTATCCGCATCATCTCCAGGATGCAAGGAGTCAGATAGCGTAAGGCAAGCTGTCATTTTTATCGGCGCGCCGCGAGCTGCCGTGGCGCCCCATGGCACATTTTTCCAAGTCACCTGTCCATCCTCTACACGCAGCACAGCGCCCAAACCAGTCTCCAGCTCATTAAATATCCCTGTTGTGCATTCGCTATTTTTATGGTAACGAGCAGTGTAAACAGGGAAATTCCTCTCTCATACAAGGCACACCGCCCCGTACCAATGTCCATTGTTAATTTCGGCCGCAGAGCAAGTCCTGTGGAGTGGGGGACCAAATTTCATGGTCTGAGTACTTTTACGTATCAGATCTTCAGATCTGCCTTCAGCTCAAATAGACCTCAAATTCCAGTGCAATGTGGTCAAATGTATATTCCTGGGAGGTAATGGACCCAGTTGCCCTTTTGGGGTACGGCTTTTGACTGACAATGCCTGTCTCAGCATTTCTTTTTATTTATAGACCTAGACCATGTGTGGTTTTTATTTTCCCTACACCCCACTGTGTACTCTTTATTTTTATACTGCACAGTCAATGTGCCAAAAAAAAAGCATTCTACTGATCTCAGCATTTCTTTATCCAAACCTAGGTCACATGTGGTTTTATTTTTTCCCTACCCCAGCATGTAATACTTATTTTTATTCTGCGTATTCAATCTTCAAAAAAAGAATCATCCTTCCCATCTTAGCATTTCTTTATCCAACCTGGATCATGCATAGTTTTACTTTTCCCGGCTCACCTCGTTCTCCATATTTTTATTCTGCACAGTAAATCCGCCAAAAATAATCATTCTGCCAATCTCAGCATTTCTTTATGCAAACCTGGGTCACACATAGTCCTTAATTTATTCTCCGTATTCAATCTGTCAAAGTTGTTCCCTTTTTTTTGTCTTGTAATTTTTTTCCCCTAAATCTGTCGCTGTGCATCAGGTATTATTCCTTATTTTCCCTTTGCGCCAAATCGACGAGACCTGCTATTATACTTCACCATCGTTGCACACTCGTGATTTTTTGTATCAAAGTCACCACGGAATCCGAGTCCCGATTTGTGGTGAACCCAGAATGCATTTCAGATATCTTTTTGTTCTTTTCGTTCAGTTGTTGTTTTGAAAAAAGTCAGTCCAGTTGAAAATGCATTTTTCTGGCGATGTAAAAAGCTGATTGTAAGTGTTGAGTGAGTGAGATCAATGAGATGAAGAAGGGTGTCCGTCAGTGTGTTTGACGAGAGAGAGTTGCTAAGCACTGGCTATGTTGGGTTGCCACCCGAACCGATGGGTGAGTGGGTACGGCCACCGCAGGTAAAGGGTTAGCCAACAGAGATTCTGAGGCCATTGGCCAAAGTTTGATACACCATCAAAGTTCTTGATACCACTGACACCCTAAGGAATTGACCAGTCTCGACACAGCTTCCGCCTGGAATTTGAGTGCACGATCCCCGAATCACCGTAAATTTTACATTGTCCATATTGTTGAATTTGTATGAAGACTGAATATAATTTATATAACAGGTTTTTGCCCTTACTCAACCTATATATTGACCACTGAGCTTGCCATGGTCGGCTGGCCGGTCCGAGTCAGGTGTAGCAGCGGGTACTGGAAACTATTTCAAGATGTACATGTATTTTGCATTGGGGAGAGGTTAATTTATATAACAAGTTTTTGCCTTACCCAACGTATATATTGATAAACACTGTATGCTCAGTGCTTGTCCAAGAGCTTGCGAAAAAATTTACAAGCTTACTCAAGTGGGGCTCGAACCTACGACCTCCTGCTTACTAGTGCAGACGTGCAGTAAGTATATTCAAGACTGAATATACTTAAATATGTTATATTACTGAGATGTGTTTTCTGCCTTGCAAAAGTATTTAGCCCAGATTTATTGAAACGCAGAATTAGTGGTCGATTTGTAATGTCTTATGTGGATTTCGTTTCAATTTTTGGGAATCGATTAAAACTCATCAAAAAAGGACAGAGATTTGTAGAGCTTTCGGTCATTTCAATTTGTTCCCATGGAAGCAACCCGATGACTCTGAGTAAGGTCTGGGAAAACCACTGACAGGGAAGTCCTGAGCTTGATACTTTAGCTCAAGCCAAGGCTGATCGTAACTTCGCAGTAACAGCCACATAGAGACAGTACGGATATCACTCGCCTTTCCACCTTGGTCTAGAAGTACCCGGCAGTTATCGGACCTAACTGGAGTTTGAATTAACTACTTTATAATTTGTTGCTGACAAAGCTACTAATTTTGTAATGCTTTCTAATTCACCGTGAGCTTTATTTGCAATTTTGTCATTGGTTAAATTCAGTTTGCTTTTTTGTTTTGAGGCTGTTGTGATTAATTTAATTGTTTGATTAATTTGAGTTCATTTTAAGCTTGGGTATCTGAGTTTGCAGAGCCATACAGCGAGAAAGTTCCCTAAAACTGCTGCTGAAACTAAAAATTTTTTGGAATTAACTTCACATTTTGTTTGTTTGGGTCGTCTCTAAAGTTTGAATTAATTAAGTTCAAGTGAATTTTAAGTTGGACGTTTCACCATTCCTTCACTTCAATTATTTCTTTGTACATATTGTATAAAATTTCAATTAGTTTAGTTATCATTCTCAATTAAACTTTTTTTCCCTTTACGTTTCTTTCTTCGAAGTTAATTCAGCCTGTTTGGTTGTCCGTCTGATTTCATGACAGAAGTGTTCTGATCACATTAGACTGTTTTAGGGTTACTAGTTGACACAATCTTCAAAAAAAGAATCATCCTATCCATCTCAGCATTTCTTTATCCAAACCTGGATCACGCATGTTTTATTTTTCCGGTCCCCACCTCGTACTCCTTATTTTCATTCTTCGCAGTCAATCTGCCAAAAATAATCAATAATTATATAAATTTCTGGGTCCCGGATATTATACTCTATTTTCTTTGAGAAAATATTCCGAGTCTGAGAAAAACTATCCTGAGTTCCCAAGTGTGAGAAAACATTACATAAAGGCTACAAAGAAAATTGAGCCTGGGAAAAATATTTTGAGGCAGAGGAATTAATTTCAGCACGGCCCAAACTAATACCCAATGAGTGTATTCGGGCCCTATGGTAATTTAACCGGCTTTGTCTCTTCGCAATCAAAAGCGCCAACTATACAGTAGGGGAATGTAGTAATTGATGTCATTGTGACCGCAGAATTTTGTTTGTGTTTCCACACCGAGGGTCAGTGCATCCTGGCTGCCCGACCCTAGGCACTGTGTGGCACTGTGGAGTGCGCTGCGGCACGCAGATAAACATCTTTTTGACATCGAGCCTAAAGATATCAGAAGGATTGTGTGAGGGAGTCTGATCCTTTGTAAGGAATCCAAATGAAAGAATGAGGTGAACACAATGTGGCTCCCAATATAGATGGCCTTCAGCAATGGGGAGAGCCTATAGTTTGCTGCCTCCTCTGGATCTAACCATTTTGGGAGAAAGGCCAACCTGACATGGGTGTGCGTCTGGCAGGCATTATTTAGGGTTCAAAGGAAGGACCAGAAAGCATCTTGAGAACCTACCTTAGGTCTTATGACCAGAGCAATTTCCCAACAAGGGGGCACTGGATAAGCATATTATACAAACGATGATGGAATGTCATGCAGTCAAGGGCAGTTGAACCGCTTTTGAAACCAACGTGTATGGCAACTGGGGCTGGCCCGTAGATATGGGTTGTAGATACTTGTAGCTCCAAGTGAAAGAAGTACATACAGAAGTCTGTTATACTCACAGGAGTATAAGCTGGAGCCAAAGCCTGACTATCGAAGCACATGATAAAATGCTTAAATGTGCTGTCACAAATTTGTAAGGTAGGCAGATGACATCCCATGCGGCCATGGCTGTAGCTTGCTAGAAAGTCCCGCCGAAGAGGAAGATCGTGGGAAGTTGTGCATTGTTCAAGGAAGCAAATAGGTCAATGTAAGGTCAATGTAAGGCTGCTCTATCATCCCAGGGAGAGCGCGTCCGCCACTACATTGTCAGATCCTGCCATGTGGATTGTCTGCGGGTCAACTGCATGATCCCTTGTCCTTTCTGTTAAAGTGGCTTGGGTTGGCAGTGTGGAAAAAAAAGAGGCAAGAAAGCCCTCAGACATACTCAAAGAGTATAGCGCCATAGACATTGATGACAATGACACGAGTACTGTAGCTAGGTTGGCTGGCCTAACCACGAAAGCTCCCAAAAGTCTCTTGAGCTGCTGCCAAAACATAATACATACCAGTATTAAAAGGTACATGAAACTTGTTTTCCCGATGTACAAGTTAAACTGCACACATTAAAAACATTTAAACAATAAATATAATAAAAGAATTACAATTCCTTAATTTCTACATACACATAAGTTACAAACACCTGAAAACACACATAAAGTACTGGTGGATAAAAAAATTCAATCTCAATAAAAGAGTAGTTTATCAACAGAAACTTGCTGATAGTGCTAGCAGGAAAGAGTTCCTAAAACTACATGTATTAGTTTTTGTAGCTATTTGATGGACCCTCCAGATTGATTGGTGACAATGAATGAGTTAAAGAGCAACTCTAAGGAAAACATGTTTTCTCTGATTTTATCTGTTCAAATAAATATGAAGCATCCAAATCAAACGCAGTGTCATTTATCTTCAGAGCTCAACTATAACAAGCTTGAAAGGGCTTTTTCTTGTTTATGCCAAGATACAAAATCTGAACGTAGATTGTGTCATTCGGAGAAACCCTCACCCTGTGGATAAACCCTGTGCATGCCAAACAATGGCTACATGTACATGTAGATAACTCATACTATACATACACTTATTCACACAATAATATCAACTACATGTAAGTTCAACTTACCATCTCAAAAATTCATCTAGTAAGTTGTTGAGTCTACTTTTCAGAACAGCATCACTCTCTGTAGAAACTGTGTAGAGTAGTGGGACTAAATGTCCCTTGCTTCCTTCAGGCCAGCTATATCGTCTCTCAAATAGATAGCACGTAAATCTAAAGATAAAAAAATTTCAACAGGTCTTTCCGTGAACACATTTCTCATTTCATTTTATGACAAAAGCACACAACAGTTGATGGGTGTATGGGTCCCTGTAAGTTGTTTCCAACTAGATAAACGGTAGATAAGTTGGGTACTGATCTGGTTAAAGGGTAGCTGCAATCAATTTGTTTAAATACAAACCTTCAAAATGCACCTCTATGTTTCAGTTAACCTTATTTTCAACTTCTGTTTCATATTTGGTTTTGTGCTTATAGTATTTCCATATTCATGAGTAAAACTGTGAAGGAAGAAAGCCTTCATGTAACATTGATTTCTACACAAAAAGTGCTAGAATTTTGTAGATGTTTCTGGAATAATTTTCTCTTCTTTGCTGATTCCTTGTTGCTTATGTGCATAGCAATAAGCAGGCATCAGTCCCTGTCTCAGAAATGTTTTCAGTAAGTTCTGGGTTCACAATTTGAACAGAAAAACCTATGCGCTGAACTATGTCTTCCCTAGATGACATCAAGGCAACAGTGGGATTGATTGTCCAGGAAAGTGACTTTTCACCAAAAAGGAATGTAAAAGAGTTTTCACACACAGAAATGGAGTGCAAAGTTAAAAAAAAAATATTAAGAAAAATTCATTCCAGCTCCACTTTAAAGTCAAGGGAATGTGTAGAGGACACCTTTGTATTTTTGGAGATGGAAAAGTTGCTTCTTCTCATCTTTATTGATGCTGAGGGTAAAAATTTGGTCAAGCAGAATTGACAACACAGGAAACTGTTTCCAGGACAAAGAGATGTCTTTTTCAAGAACACAGAAGGTGCTCTCTGAGACATTAATTTACTACCATACTTAAATTTTCATAATTCTGATACATCTAGCTCTTTATGATTTAGAAGCCCATGAAGTCTGCATTCTCCTGGTGGACAGAGTACACTGCCCAAAACTGGTTCTATACAGAACACTCACTAAAAGAGATACATGTAGTTTATACATACATGTAGATCATTAAATTAAAAATGTACAAACATTAAGTTGATGATTTAATATTTACAATAAAAGGTTTTACATGTAATATTTCAAATATGCAAAATATAAAAACAAGATGTATGCATGAAAGCATGATATACACATAAAAAGCAAATTGTAAAAATTGCACAAAACAGTAAATCTTATATGATTTACTGACCAGGACGAAAGGGAAAAAATATAAAATACAAATAATAATGCACATGTAAATAAAATATACATAAGAATATATAGATGACTAATACAGGCGATTCACAATAGTGCGCCACCAAGAGTTTGCAACACGTTGGCCAATCATAAATTTGTCGACCCTTTCCAAACGCGCATTGGGTTGACAAATTTCGCGCATTGTGATTGGCCAACGCGTTGCAAACTCTTGGTGGCGCACTATTGTGAAACGGCCATATTGCATAAATTCAGTGTGAGGGTAAAATTATATGTAAAAGAATCATATTAAGATAAGTTAAACTTCTCAACAGTGTCCTCAGATTTCACTGATCTCAAATCGAGGATAGAGAATTGGTGGTCACTGAGGTGCAAAGATGCTATTGGCAAGGCTGTCCAGATCCTATGTAATATATTGATTGCATGCAGCAAGGACTGGCACGTGACTGACAGGCAAATGTTTGAATGTTCAAGCAATATCATATCTGTGGTTAACGATGATGTTCCTATTGACCTATTCACATTTGATTGTTTTAAAAAGGCACTTGACAACAAATGAAATCATTAATAGATAGAGAATTGGTGGTCACTGAGGTGCAAAGATGCTATTGGCAAGGCTGTCCAGATCCTATGTAATATATTGATTGCATGCAGCAAGGACTGGCACGTGACTGACAGGCAAGTGTTTGAATGTTCAAGCAATATCATATCTGTGGTTAATGATGATGTTCCAATTGACCTATTCACATTTGATTGTTTTTTAAAAGGCACTTGACAACAAATGAAATCATTGAACAATTATGGTGACATGATAATGAAATCAAAGTCGTAAGTTGGTCAGACTACGACATTTCTCCGAGTCGCTGACCTAGGATAAATCGGATCGCACACCTCTGGACACTCATGAAAGCTTCCACCTGCATCTTGGTATTAGGGAGCCGAGCAAGTACTCTATATTCCAACAAAGGAAGAACTAGACTTTAATACAAACAGAATTTGGCGGGAACAGAAGAACTAAAACAGACTCAGTTAGTCCAAGCATTCTGTTGACACAAGAAACATTCCTTACGTTATCATTCCATGGTAACAGAGAATTTAAACTATCGAGATACTTACGAACTCATAACCGACAATTGGGAACAGCCATGGGTGTAAAGAGAATGCACATTTAAAACTGTGTCGGAACTTGCGCGAGCTGCAGATGAATATTTGCTCCATCAACAAGCCAACAACCCATCCACCCACAACAGCCTCAGACACAACCTAGTACCTTCGTTTCCTGACAAAACTGTGCCTTCGCTAAACAAACCGCTTATGTCTGGAAACAAGCCGGCACTGAACAAATCGGCACCCCCTCCCCGGCCCAACCGACCTGGGCAATATACCAGTGTGTGCTACAGATGCAAACAAATTTGTCATTGGGTACAAGACTACCCGATGCCACCGCCAAAGCCAGATGTCAACTCACAGTCATCTACAAACACTCCAGTGCTTAAAGACAGTGACAAGCCTCAGAAGCCTAACAAGGTAAATTTCTTGCAGTCAGACAAAATTTGTCAGGGTGGACCGTTAGTTGAGGCAACTATCAACAATAGCCACAGGGTTGTCTCTCTCATAGACATGGGTTCCAGTCTCTCGTTGATCACAGATGAACTCTGTAATGAACTGGACCTCCCACTTGGCCCAACACCCGAAGAGGCATTAGTTATGGTGGATGGGTCTGAACTAACTTGGAACGGTGGAGACGAGGGTTGGTATGGGCGGAGCGGAAACTACGCTTCACTTACACAGAGTCCGACGCCTACCAACCGCTGTCTTGCTTGGTATGGACTTTGTGCACAACGTCAGTTTGGCACTGGATTTCACCAATAATTGTATTGGACAGAACCCATCATGGATTTTCTGCGAAGACAAACTGTCCAGTATCCTATGTTGGGTACACCCGTCCCTCCCCCTCATCACGCAGAGCCTGTCACAACAAATGATGATGACATGCCTCCACAGTCTTCCACACAACTTGACCGACTAGTTCTCACAGATGATGACATCCATCGCATAGACACGTTGTTGAATGCTTTTCCAGATGTCATGTCCGAAGAAACAGGGCAGACGGAAAGGAAATGTAATCTGCGAACACGGGCGAATATGATACGCTTGTAAAGACTGCAAAGGAAATGGAATCTGCAAGCACGGGCGAATATGATACGCTTGTAAAGACTGCAAAGGAAATGGAATCTGCGAACATAAAAAAAAAAACAGAGAATATTGCAAAATCTGTACTGACCCCATTGAAATAACTATCAGAAATTGGATTCTTGGTTGCCGACGATCGGATAAAAAATTAAATCGATACGACCCTGGCCGTTTTATCGACACTGATTCATGCTGTTGGCTAGTGGAAGATTGCCCATATTGCTTTTACCCCGACTACAAGGTTAAACTGCAATTTACCGAATATCGCGATGATTTATGCACTACTGAATATCTAGATAATAAGTACGGAAACAACAAGGCCGATGTTGTTCTTTGTTGTTTAAAGTGTAATAACCTAAAAAAATCGGATAAATTGGAGATTGAATATTCGCACCATTATTATAAAAGCTAGTTATTAATTACTTATCCTCTGTTATAGCTGGGGTAATGTAGCCTGGCTATAACTTTTTTTATTTTAGTTATAAGCAAATGATAACCCTCCTTGAATATGTTAATCTAGTTATTCAACTAACTATCGCAGTCAACTTAACTTATTATACAATCGAGTACTTACTTCTAAAACAAACGTTTAACAAATTTAAAACGCTTGTTATAAAGCAGATGACCTTAAATCAATACTCGCCGATTCAAAAGTCGACTCAACCGAAGAATCAAGGGCCCAATGTAAAAGACCGTCTTTGTTCGATCGTAGCTTCTGGCGAATCTAAAAATATTTAGGTAAAGAATTTACGATTAAAGACATCGAGTCGCTCAGCCCTAAAGACCAAGAAAAATTATTCAAATTGTACGAAGTTAGATTCGGTAAAGAAAATTAGGCGAAGCGAGCGAACCGAGCTCAGAAAATAAAATTTATAAAACGGCCATAGAGAACAGAAATTTAATCCTTGGTGGATTGGCGATTGGAGCGGTCGCGGTTTATTTAAATTGGAAAAACAAATCGGCGCCTATCAAAGACGCGTTGAAAGCCAAACCAATTCAACCGACGGTTCAACCGAAAAAGGAGCAACCCGAAATTTTGGTTATGGATTAAATTTGGAATAGATTAAAAAACCTGTTATATTAAAGATGAGTAACGCTAAATCAATCGACGTAAATGGAATAGCCAATACAGTTTATCACGGCGCCGTGGTTTTGGGAATTTCCATTGGTTACGCCATGCTATCAAGTAAGCTCTTTAAAATTAAACCGCCCCATTTAAATAAATTATCTATCAAAGACGTGTTAAAATTAACCGCGATGTTAAGCGGTGCGGTGCATTGGCAACCCAGGGTTGGTTAGTGTCACAGGGTATATTGCCCGTGAGTTTGCCCATCGCTTAAAAAACGTATATTATAAAAGAATGGCCAAAGGAGGATTTGAACTGGACGATTTTACGGCAACCTCAGAAGAAAGAGAAGAAGAAGCGTCTACATGGGACGATACACTGGCCTCGTTAACCGACAAAAAGGGGGATAGAATCGATTAAACCAAAATTGGGGACAAAACAGAGACAAAATTAACGCTAAACCCCAGACCCGTAAGATTACCCGCAGGTGATCGGATAGAACAAGCAAGAGTGATATTTCAAACTAACTCAACTGTAGACGACTTTTACAGATATT